GTGCAGGTTGCTGATCTTCCAAGAGGCGCCGCGTGGGAGCGCGGTTGGGAGCAGGGGAGGAGATGTGCTGCGGGATTCATCTGTGGCTCCGCACAACAACGGCGTGGAGTACGACGGCGATGGGAGCATGGAGAATGGCCCAGCGGAGTCGGGGGAGTCGGCCGTCAAGCCGGCTCCACGGTCGCCGGACTGGATTAAGAGGTACAAGGGAGCAAATTCTTCTGAATGTTTTAACCCGTAATTCGTTTTCAACCTGCTGTTCTGTTCTGGTAATGGTGATGTTGTGTAAAATAACCAAAAAATCAGTGGTGCTCTTTGTGTCTATTACCACCAGAGCCAGTCAGCCAGAGGATTCATCCCATAAAAAAATGTAGGGGGAAAGGGGTTGAGCCAATTGAGTGGTGCGCCCCATGAATTGCTTCTGTATTAGACAGTACGGGATTGCTTTGTTTGTCTAGTGCCTATGGTTTGTTTAGGATCCCCGCTACCACAGAGATTAGAAAAGATTTTGAATTAGTGCTACTGTATCGTTACGCATGAGGCATGACCAGCAGGCAAGTGTGGGTGGTTTTGGGGAGGGAGGGATGTTTGTTGTCTGGCTTTGTTTCTGTCGCATATGTTCGTCATCGGCACGCTGGTCCGCCAATGATTTTTTTCTAGTTTTTTACACGTAATGCTTGCAATCAATATTTCCGCATGGGCGTCTATGGGGTGAGGATGGTGGGTGGGGGAAATTCTGAAAACAATCAGGAACTGGTTTCGCTGATGTTTTGTGTTTGATTTTTGTGGGTGTGTTGTTTTTCACGCAGAGTTCATGCGGGCACTATTCCTACATAAAGAACACCCTGTCTGGGAAGGATGGGGGCCCTCAAAATATCTAAAGGGGCTTTGCGGAGCGAGATAGAGAAGAGGTTGTCAAGCCATAGTTATGCACCACATTTGACATGTTGACGGAAGCGTACGACTTCTACAATCTATACTCATGGGAACTTGGTTTCGGTATAACGTATGGCAAAAGCCGACTGAATCCAGGCAAGCAGAAGACAAATGCAAGAGATAGTCTGTGGTTGCTCAGTAAGGATGCAGAACTGAAATGAATTTAGACAAGAAATACAGGCGATAAAGAGCACACTGTCAGATACAGTCCACCGGTGATTTAAGTGGTACATCTTGAAGGCTATAGAAAGTTTGGGGGTTCTGCACGGGAATAGAAAATGAATTTAGACATGAGTTTCATAAAGTCATAAACCATATGCTCACAGTGGACGAGATCGATCGAGGAAGCGTGGTCTCAGCTACTGGAGAAGTACGACCTGAAGGCACACTCGTACATGACGCAGATTTTCGGGATAAGGGAGAAGTGGGCGAAGTCATATTTCAAGGGAATTTTCTGTGTGAAGATGACAAGTACCCAGAGGAGTGAGAGTGTGAACCATATGCTGAAGAAATATGTGCCCTCCGGCTCTCCGATGCATAAGTTTGTTAGGCAGTACATGCGGTTGCAGTTTAATCGTCAATCAGATGAGAGTTATGAAGAGAAGAAAACTAAAATCGTAAGTGCAGCTTCATTGAGAAAGAAACGGTAGAGACATGAGAAGTGGAGCTAGGTGGTTTTCCTAGTAAAAATGACCGGTAATGGTTCAGAGTTTGGGTGAGAATGCGGGCTTTTTGAGCACATAGGCATGGTGTCTTGTCATATACTTCAGGTTCGTGCATGCCAGGCTCACACAAAACTTTGTTTCTTCAAGGCAGTTTCTAGATGTTGGTTAATTCTTTCGTGGTTGGCTTCATTTTCAGGTGATGGATTCCTTGGCATGACAAAGGTGTCGGATAAGCACATTGTGAGAAGGCGGACCAACGATGGTCGAGACATACTGCCAGAGCACTTGCATCACTACCAGTGCGATCAGCTTGGTGCCACGCCCCTGACTTTTCGTCATAATCGGATGTATGTGCAGGCATTAGAGTTGATCCGATTGGGAGATGCCAGTGTGGAAGCTTAACACTGATGGGACTCATCAATAAAGCTATGAAGGTGATGGCTCCTTTCGACCAGGCGAGGAATGGGCTGGGACAGGAGGATCGTGTCAGTGGCAAGAAGCAAGGCAATGTCGATGAAAAAGAAACCAAGGCTGGCGAGGATGAGTATGTTGTGCTGCCGGGGCATAGCAATCTTTTGGTTGGCCTGGGAGTGCCATCAAAGAAGAAAAGTGCAGGGAGGCCGACAAACGCAAGAGGCCAGGCACCTTACGAAGGATTGAGTAAGAGTAGATTCTGTAGCATCTGCAAAATTCAAGGCCACAAACGAACAACTTGCCCGCAGAGAGGAGACGTTCCCAAAGTTTAGAGGAAAGAAGCAAAACTGCAGCAAGTGTGGTGTCACTGGCCATCAGAAGAACACCTGCGACAGGCCAGCGGGAAAAGTTGTTCAGGGTGTACTGTTGTACTAGCAATTAGGACCAAAAGTGGTTGTAGAATGCACATGTTGTGCGTGTGATGTGAACGTTAATGAAATACTATCATGGTGATAAGATAACTAAATCTGTTACATCTGTTGTGGTAAATACAAATTTTGAAATGCATAAGCAAGTAGGGGGGCAGCCAGTGCCACACGGTTGGTATGCATGCCGTGGGAGAGTCAGTAAGTTTGAACTTTCAAAATTTGAACGTGAATAGGATGCCTGTGATGTGGCGTGTAATGGTTTGAATAGAAGCTGGAGGGATCACGCGACGGCCAAGCAGACCAGGTGCTACAGGGCTTCGGTCCATGAGAAATGGATGACAGTCGAGACCGTAGTGGACTAAAGTGAGCCACCTCATTAATGGATAGTGGACAGGTGACAGGGGCACTGTTTGATAAATAATTCACGGCTGCAATACCATGCTAAATACAGCTGCACGCAGCGATCCAGAGGAGGACCAACGGCTTAGATAGTACTATCATATGCTAGTACGAGCCATTTTGAATTTTCGCAATTACACTACTTAGCAAAGATGTGTGTAAGCACCTAGCTAAGGATGTTACTATAATAACTCTTGCTGCTTAGTTACCTCTGCTACTAGCAAGCCAAACTATAACAGATATATGTATAGGTAATTAGCATCTGCTGCTTCCCGTTAAATATCTCAAGAGATTTGAACTTGCCTTTTCATGCACATTATGTTTTCATGTAGATGGAAAAGGAATCGTCAATTGTTATTTCTGAGTTGAGAAAACTTTTCTTGCTATCCTGGCTGCAAGCTCAATGCAAGCACCTAGCAGTAGATTGAAATTTATTTTCTTATGTGAACATGGAGCCTTGTGTTTATGTGCTCATATAAGATGTTCTTTGTCCGGTGCTTGGTTCTGCTAAATTAGCTTCATAGTGCTATTACTTGCCAAGCCACCACTGGCTTTAAAATCACAGTTTTAACTTATGTTTTAGTAATTTTACAAGTTTATAGTGGTGGCAGTAAGAGCTTATTGTGATTTGCTGACTATCTGAATCTTTTACATACTTCATTTGTAATTTTATTGTTTGACTAATAGTATGTCTGTTGGAACAAGTGCAAAGGCAACATCACCTTCTAGCAGAAGATTTCCCCTGCATTGACCGCTTCAGAGATGCACTAGGTGGGTACAACATCGATAGTTTTGAGGAGGCCAAGCCATATGTACTACTATTATGTTGTATTAGCGAATCTAGCATCCGTTCGGATGATATAAGGAAAGTAAACAGAGATGCTGATGGGATTAATTAATTCAAAAAAGTGTTCTTGGTTTTTGTTTCTAGATGATACAATACAGAAAGTTTTGAGAAGGTCAAGCCATATGTACTACTATTATGTTGTATTAATGAATCTGGCATCAGTTTCGATGATATAAGGTAAGTAAACAAAGATGTTGATGAGCTTAATTAATTAGAAAAAATGTTCTTGATTTTTATTTGTAGATGAAATATTTGATTCATTGTGGATTTACCAATACATAGCAGATTCTGGTGGGCCACTATTGTTTATCATATGGATTGTAGATTGCAGTGGTAATGTACCATCTGTTTTGTAAATTTTAGTAGTGATGTATATTATATAAGACTCTGGTTGCCGTGACCTTGCTATTCCCCGTAGAGCCAGCAAAAAAATAGAATGAAAAGGTTCATTAGAGAAATAATGAATTGGCGATTGAATATCAAATGGCTGTGATTTTATATGTATGTGGGAGCTTGACGTAAGATTACATGATTATTTATTTAGATGAGCTATTTCCAAAGCTTTTTTAACAGAGGGAGAGATACCGAAGCTTTAACATCATTATAATTACACACGATACATCACATATTACATAGATGCCATAAAGAAACAAGAAAAATAAATAACAAGTCCCTAGAGTTTTGTAGAAAGGACCTTAAACTGACAGACAAAAACATGATCAGGTCCGTGTAGGTTTCACCTCGCTATCGACACAAAAGGCTGTCCTTCAACCTGAAGAGTCACCGAAGCGACGAGGACCGCCCATCGATCGCCAAAGACCAGGTTCAGCGAGCGGTATAGCTTCGTAACAAATTCCGGTGAGACTAGGCTCACATCCAACCATATAGTATAATTTTTGCTGGCGTTAACACCAAAGCTTCTACTATAAAAACAATTAGTGCCAGTTCGGAAGTGACAATTCTCATGAAGTCATCTTGACCCTAAATATTGGCTTTACAAGAAGACATTCTTTTTTCATGAACGCTGCTATACACACGATGCCACGCAGACGATTTGTGGACGATGCTAAATTCAAGCCATGTGATGCACAGCAGCAGCACTGTTCTACGGTTGGATTTGACTGTCGGCTACACATCGTGTGTGCAGTTTCGTCTGCACAGCAATTTCGTTTTTCATAATAATGGATGAGCGAGATTTTGAAAAACCAATGTTCCATTTTGTTATCCATGTAACATAATCATATGTTTGAATGATTTTCCGTGGCAACGCATGAACATTTACTATATATATATAGTGTTATTATTCATCACCCAGCGTACATAATAAGTTATTCTTCACCCAAGGTAATCTTACAATCGTTTCCTAAATCAATTATGTTTAGAATATAAATAGTTACATGCATATTGATTCAATATGTAAAATTTGGTATAAAAAAAATTAAAATATAGGTTATAAACCAGAAAAATCACATTTTATGTATGTTTTACACTATGTTTTTACATTCGTAATTTTATATAACATAAAATATATTTTACGGCGAGTACATATTTTCTTATGTTCTTTTTTTATGTTTGAAATAAGACAAAATTTACGAAATCTAAAAATACGGTGCATTGACTTCAAAATATAGTGATGGTGAAGAATAACTATTCCTCACCCAGGGTGACGAATAGCGCAATATATAGGGTCGCGCTATTTGTCACCCTGGGTGATGAATAGTTATTCTTTATCCCTCTCTATTTTGACATCAATGCACCGTATTTTATGTTTCGTAAATTTTGTCTTATTTCATACATAAAAAGAGAACGTAAGAAAATATATATACTCTTCGTAAAAAATATTTTATGTTATGTAAAATTACGAACGTAAAAATATAGTGTAAAACATACATAAAATGCGATATTTCTTGTTTTATAACCTATTTTTTGTTTTCTTATACCAAATTTTACGTAGTGAATCAATATGAATTTTACTATTTGTATTCCAAACATAATTTATTTATGAAGCGATCGTAAGATTGCCTCGCGTGTAGAATAACTTATTCTGCACCCTGAATGATGAATATGATTAATATATATATATATATATATATAGGTTGAGTCTATTCTAACAACATCCCTTAAAACCTGATTCTAACAACACCTAACCTTATTTTGCTAACACCCCGACTCGCACCACAAAACACAGTTACACGTAAAAACTGCAGGAGCCCACCACCCACCCCACCTTCTTCCCTCGGACGCACCCACCCCCACCCCGACCCACATTCTTCCTCGCACACCACCACTCCCCACGCCCACCTCCCTCCCCACCTTCCGCCGCTGTCAGACCC